GGAAGGTTTTGTGCCTGGTGCATTATTAGTGTTCAGTAGTAAATCCAAATCTGCTGATTATCATGATGATATGAACTCATCGAACTTTATGAAATGGGTCAGAGAAAAATTAATACTAAATTTAAGTAAGCCCAGTGTAATTGTTATGGATAATGCCAGCTACCATATAAAACAAATCAATAAACCGCCTATAATGTCTAATACCAAAGCAGATATCCGTAAATGGCTTGTAAATAATGGAATACATTTTGAGGAATATCAGACAAAGGCAGAGTTAATGTGTTTGGTTAATGATAAGAAAACATTGCCTGTATATGAAGCTGAAGAGATTTTAAAAGAACATAATCATGAACTTTTATTGCTGTCACCGTATCATTGTGACTTAAACCCAATAGAGATGGTTTGGAGTCAAGCAAAAAGAAAAATTGCAAGCAGAAACATTGGAATACCAGGAAAGGAAATGGAAAACTTAATAATAGAGTGTTTTAACTTAATTACCCCTAGTGACTGGAAGAAATACACTGATCATGTTTTAAATGTCGAAAATGATTACAAATTAAAAGATGGCATTGTTGAAAACGAACCTGAAAAATTTATTATATCTGTTGGTGCAGACAGTAGTGAAGAGAGTGACTCTGATGATTCCTTGTCATTGTTATCAGGTGTAGAATATTTAGAAACAGATTTTGACTATGAATCAGACTAAAAGTATTTTTAGTCTGATTCATAGTCAAAATCTTATCTTAAATTTTCTATTGTGATTAACATGATGATTTTGTGACACCTGTATTATGTAATTTATCCATGGCACTTAATTGTAACAAAAATAAATGTTTTTTTTATTGTAATCTGGTGTTTATATTGACTAATTTAATTTGATAGATAGTGGTTCTGGATCAGAGCAAAAGGTTGTGATGAAAATCCCTTAGGAGACATGTATGTGTTATGAACACATTATAAATATAAGGGCCAGAAATCAAAATTGGCTAACATCACATTTATTAAAAAAATGTGGCCAGAGTCGCCCATATTCATTACAAAAAAACAAAGAAGTCGTTGCAAAAAACACCCTTTTAATTAATGACAAATATGAATTTTTAATATTATAAGTGCTGTTAGCCAATAGGTATAACGAATGGGTTAAAAAAAAGATTCGATTTAGTCCGTCAGTCAGATAATAGAAAAATATTGGATACGTATTTTTTTTCGCTTTAATTTAACAACAAATGGCTTAAGAGGTACTATGCGACGACTTCAAATATGCTTTGCAACAATGTTACTTTAATACAGTTTATCGATACGAAATCAAGTGTCAAAATGGAGTCCAGTGGAGAATGCCGATATTGACATTTCGAAATTGCTCATCATTGATAGAGAATACGAAATAGTGATTTTGACACAATCAAAGTGTCTATTTTTTACGGTGATGACGATTCTTGGTTGTCAGTTGAGTTAGTGAATAGGCCTACTGATATGCCTGTTAACTGTACAATTAAGAACAGTCACGCTTTAGTCAAATGTTCCAAAACAAATAATTTTAATTGATATCTAAATGTTAAGATTAAATATAATTAATAAAAGTATCAAAATTATTTTGCAGTACTACATTCAGTGTTTACTGCTTAAGAATTTTTGAAATTGCCGCCCTTTTCTTGTGACACGTTTCGCTTGCCAGACTCTACTCTATATACTATACTATTGTGATTTTGAATCTATTTTCTTCTAGACTCGAAGTTTGTTTGTTATTTATAGAAGTATTAGTACATTATAGTCTTAGTACAAAAGCAGAGCAGAGTAAAATAAAAAATGTAAAAAATATCTCTTCTAAATTATTATTTCAATTTTCTCTAAAGACAGTTGTTACTTATCGATTTAACATATTTACTGGCCTGTGACTTCAATTTCTCTTCTAAATTATTATTTCAATTTCCTCTAAAGACAGTTGTTACTTATCGATTTGACATATTTACTGGCCTGTGACGTCACGATCAGCGCCATTACAGAGTGCAGCGTTTTTCGCGCGCTTTTGGCTATTTAAATTTTAACTATTATTTTCACTAAAAATAGAAAAGATTCCAATGAAATATGGCAGTGTGTTTATAATGTAGCAATAAACGATTAAAAATAGTTTTCAGAAAAGTGTCAAATATCCTATAGTATATCATAATTTAATTTTAAATCGAAAAATTATATTATGCTAAATAAGGTTGTACACGTTAAATCCTTTCGTACTAAAAAAAACCTAATGTCACAGTGATAGCTGTCATTGAAGTTGTAAACACTAATTCGTTTGTTGTTTTTATATTATATCGTGATAATATCACCGCAGTTAATATTTAATGATGTCTGGCGATGATTGCGATGCATTAGACCGCGGTGACAACGATGGCCAAAAATCAGACAAAATGTTTACACTGAAAAAATGGAATGCTGTTGCAATGTGGAGTTGGGATGTCGAATGCGATACTTGTGCTATTTGTCGAGTCCAAGTTATGGGTAAGTTAACGTTTTATTTTTACCTTCGTTACAGTTATTTTTATATACATATATAAAAGCGAAAGGTAAGTCGCACTCACTCTTCACAAAATCTCGGAAACTACAATTGCTAGAGCTTAAAATTTTTGTTTGAAGTTTCTTATTAGGACGTAGCTCTTAGTGAACGGGATTATACGAAATTTGACTACTAGAGGTTGTTCTGTGGTTGATAATTTATATAAGACTTAATTTCTGCAAGTGCTAGGGAGTCTCATATTTTGCATAGTGGTTCTTTTTACCCGATTACGTTGAAGCTAAAAGGAAGGTTATGATTTTGGCCCTCATGTATGTATTTAAGAATGTTCATCTTTTCCCATAAAACCCATAAAACTTCAAAACTACTTATTATAACTGGAAAAATGAGTTAACATTCGAATTCATTGTAGTTGTCCACATGCTGCGCCTGCAACAGCGCAGCGGCCACTAGAGAGCATAAAGTAAGAATCTAATAAAAGGAGTAGTAGGGTATCACAAATAAAAGGGCTAATTAGCAGATTTCAAATATATATATAGATCACTTTTACTTGTAATTTTGCTTAAATACACCTGAAAATTAATTAAATTATAAAAAAAAATCCAAAACTGAAATCCAACTACAGCTAAATTACAATCTTTATTAAGTTTCTAAATTCATTTTATAATGATAGCTATATTACAATAGAGATGACCAAAGGACAGCATAGTTGTATGCCACAACAATTTATATTATATATAAGTTTATATATACATAATATTTTTATAACATACATAATATACGTAATATTCATATATAATATTTGTTATGATCAGTGGCTGGTGTGATAAGTGGTAATATAATAAGTTGTCTTATTAATATATATTCTATATTAATATAGGCTACTTTTTGTCCTATGAAACGGTTTCCTAGGCCACTGGCAAAAAAATTGTCAATAATATAATTAATTACCAATTTACATATGTGGTACATCCTGATTTAACTTTTATACTTTGACATTTATGTAATAATTCATAACAACAAGATAATATGATATTTGATCTGGTTCCGTCTACTAATATTATATAGTTACAAATGTTAAATAATATAAGTATGCCCATTATAAATAAAACAAAGGACTGAAATCAAATTTATTTATTTATACAAAGTAATTAAATATAAACTACGAGTTATTCATGATTTGAATGTATAAATATCTATTTATAATATTAAGCATTTAGTAGGAAAATACATCCTACGTGTTAATTTTATATGATGGTTCAGGTGATGTTGGGTTGGCTAGAATGAACAGATAAATTTCATATACAATAGACTGATGAAGTCACTTAAGCCTAGAAAATTAGAGCTGTCATTAGTAACTTAACCTACCCTCATACAATTTTTATAAAAGACTTACATTAACTTACACATATTATTGGGATAAACAACATTAATCTAAATTCTAACTTATTTGTTATCTAATATAAAATTAACATATGTACAAATAAAATAAATTAGACTTATTATATTAAATAAAGACCATTAAATAAATGGTTGGATAAATTTAAAAACATGATGTTATTAAATTAACTAGAATCTCAGAAATAAATAAATAAATTACAATATAAAACATGTCTGATGACAATACTTCATCATGAAATGTTCTTATTTTTTATTCCTATAGGTTGTTTTAAAAGTTGGGTTAATTTTTAGGCAGTATTACAAAACAGACTTCTAATATGAATAACTACCATATTTTTCTATGTAATATAATAATTTTATATTATTTATTACACCTGATCAGAGTAGGTAGAGCTATTTAGGTTCATTGACTGCAAACATTGATATTAATATGGATATTCCTTGAGATTCCAACTGATAATTCGGGATTTCAATGAATTTTCTTCTTCTTGTCAATAATTATAAAAATGATTTCTGCAAGCCAATAAGCGTACGAGCAACATGTAAATTTAATATCAGCAACACCTAAAAAAAAATTAAAAAAATTGTTTTTTTTTTACCTCTGGTCAAACTCTGCCTTTTAGTGAAATTTATTAAACATGTTGATCATTGTAATAAGGATTTTATTGTAAATGCAATTACTTTGTTCTTTTTGATCATATTAAGATTTTTTGAGGAACAAATAATTAGTATGGTAATATGTTCTTATACAACTTGAAAACCAAAATGTGAAGTAATTGTTAATTCTTATATAAATACATAAAAAAAGTAACATAAATAATATATGTGTTTAAATGAATCAAGTTTCTTTCTATTTATTATACTATTCTTAAACTTAAACCCGTCTATCTTGTACTCACCCGTCAGAGAGTGAGTGTATTTTTTCATTACTCCCTAACATGTGAATAGTTTTTATTATATTTTCTTCTTAAAAAGCAAATCCCGAGATATGGGGAATACCCATATTTTTCTAACATATGGCAAGTACATACAATAGCTCTACCTATTCTGATATATGTTTATTACTGTAGTAATATTTATGTAAAAAGTTTCAGCATCCATTGGGTAATGGCTTAATATTGGCAATCGAGCTCATCCTGCGTGTCTTGGGAGTTTCTCTACCTGTTAATTTTGTTTCTATTTGTTCAAGACTCTTACCTCTAGTCTCGGGAACACAAATTATCACAAAGAATAAACCAGCGAAGCAAATACAACCAAATAGCCAAAACGTTCCAGCAGGTCCAATGCCATCAATAATGTTAAGGAATGTTTTTGTCACAGTAAATGTACATAACCAGTTGAATGCCGTACAAATAGATGCGGCAGCACCTCTTATTTTAGCTGGTAATATTTCACCCATCATGAGCCATGGTATAGGGCCAAATGCCAATGAAAAACCCAATAAATAAACCATGACGCTAGTTAATGGTAACCAACCCAATGATTTTACATCCATATTTAAATCGTTTTGTACGTAAAAGAATGTACCCATTACAACTAAAGTAATTGTCATAGTAACTGATGAAATATATAGTAGTACTTTACGGCCCGCTCTATCAATTAGTGCTGTTGCTATGAATGTTGACACAAAATTGACAATACCTACAATAATTGTCGAAAGATTTTCATCAACGGCACTACCAGACATTTTAAATATAGATACTGTGTAGAATATAACGGCGTTAATGCCTGATAGTTGTTGAAAGGTCATCAAACCTAATGATATTAATATGGACTTCATATATTTGCGACTGAACAGATCCTTTATACTCGAATCATCATTTTCCACTTCGGCGTCGGTTAACGCTATGTCACGCATTTCACTATCGATTTTTGCTTTCTTCCCTCGGAGCCATTGTAACGATTTTCTAGCTTCTTCTGTGCGTCCATTAGATAAGTACCATTGGGGAGTTTCCGGAATCATAAACATTAGAATAAAGAACGGTATCGATAAAGAGGCACCTAAATACGCTAACTGTGACCAGTCAAGGTACTTGCCGGCCAGGTAACAAATCAAAATGCCAATATTTCCTATTGCTGTTGGAAATAGTCCTAAAGTACCTCTGACTTCTGGTTGTATAGTCTCGCCGAGATATACAGGAAATGCTAGTGATCCGATGCCTACACATAGGCCGCATATTACTCTACCTGTTAAAACAAGATGAACGATTTTAGCTGTGGCTATTAGAATCCACCCTATGAAAAATGGAAGCGCAGTGCATAGAATAGTTTTTCGTCTTCCGATGTAGTCGACAAGAGGGCCACCAATAATACCGCCTAGAAGGGCAGCTAACGGCATCAAACTGCCAACCCAACTCGCCTGCAGAATTAAATTGAAATTGTTAATGATATTATATAAATGTAGCTTATATTATATATCAATATAACAAAGATTCATTTGTAATAATAAAAAAAGTGCTTAATTTTATTGAGAAATTTTTCTAGCACAGGTGGTTTGAAAAGTAAGGATGGTGGTTTTTTTCGAAAAGGTAGATTTGAAATCAAATCAACCAAGATGTTTGCTCACCACCTATATACTTTATATATATAAAAGTACAGATATCAGACACTTTTTATAGTATACTAAGTACTTTCGTCAGAGATGCACCACCCCAATTACATCGGTTTTTTATCTATAGATGTGTGATCTTCCCTTTATTTTATTTACCCACATGACTAATATGTAAAAACATGTATGATATAAAAATTTCTTCTATTGTTCAAAAATATTAAAAACGTATTTTTTATTTTTTTCATAATCATTAAATTACGGCGATACATTGAGTTAAAATCTGACATGACGTCACGCTTTTGTACATTTTCTACAAAACTGTGACGTAGCGAGACCCCACTCTTCAACTTTAAAGCCTGTTATCTAAGCTATTTCTTGTTAAATTGAAGTAAAAAAAATACGAATCTAATTGTTTGTTGTCTGACTGACCTGACTGATGGACTAAATAAATAATAAATTTCTTTTTTTTACCCTGTCGTCATTCCTATTATGATGACACAGATATTTTTGGAATATTTTTTAATTTCATTATGGTGTAAGTGGACATGTTGTTCGTCGACATGTTGTATTGTTTTTCTGTAATCATTTTTCTATTTTCGTTTATGGCACTCGGTCCGTTGTTTACCGCGCCTCTTGTGCATCGTATACTTTATGTGTGAATATATAAAAAAATATTTGTGTGAAAAATACTAGTATATTAGATATTTTGTTATATGATGTCTATCTCACCTACCTCTTCTTTCGATATAGATATTGTAGTACTGTTCTCCATAGTAACTAAAGCTGGAGATGTATAAGCAGATGAGAATCCAATTATCATTGAACCCATTGATACAGCAACTGCTGCCAAAACCTGTAATAATAAAGAAAATACTAAAGTAGTATTTGAAATATCGTTTAACGAATCACTCATAATATTTTGAATTTTTGCACAAACTTTATATTTTTATATGTGGTTAAAGTTGTGTTGAGTAATTAATAGCAGTGTTAAAAATTGACCATATTATTCTATACTTCTATTGCTGTTTATTTGCATAGAATAGACTATGAAACTGTTGCACCTATTTTTTAACCTACGGGAAGCTATATCATAAGCTTGTAACACACGGTCAGTTGCACAAACGTCCATTAACGTTTAACCACGCCTTTAATCTCTAATGAATGTCAAATTTGTATGGTTAATGTCGCTTTAAACTAATGAAAATTTTAATGGAACGAGTTTGTGCAACTAGCTCATAGGCTATAAAATTTACACGGACGAAGTCGCGGGAATGGCTAGTTAATTACACATATAACTGAAGTCATTTCTTAGCATATATTATGTACCTTTTAAAGTTTTCACATGCATATTCAATTACCAATATGCAAATGGTCCCCGCGGTATCTTCCTAGGTTGCAAATACAATTCCCTAACCGATCATAATAAGATATTTGGTCCCTTGATATTTGAGGACGTATGTATATGTTTTATACAATAGTATTTAATTCATCTACGCATTACATGTCCCTCGTGACGCCTATACGTTTCGTCTACATTACATTCGCATGTAAGCATTAAACGATGACGTTATATGTGCGGGGTGTGCGCAGCCCGCCTCCGATTAATTTAAGCAATCATGTACATACACTGATTGTGGACTATGACCATCAACAATGAAACAAAACGTTTAAAACAAAATATTCACTGACCTAATTATAATTGTTGTCTATTTATTTAAAAAATTGTTGAGAAAAATCATGCAAAATTCTTAATGATAATTGTTGATCTACTGATAAGAAAATAATTAATTTATGAATCCAAAACCAAGCCTTTGAAAAATTGGCAAATATATATAATATCTTGTTTAGATAAAAAAGAGGTTTATGTCAAGTTTTATGTTTTGTATTGTCACTTCATAACTATAAATTTAACCTATTAAATAGTTTAATAGGTCACAATTTCTTTAAGTCCATCCTATATAAAGAAAATGTGTTTATTTCAAAAGTATTAAACTAATATCTTTTATAATTTAAATGCATTACATGTGTCATATGCATGTGTCATACGCAAAGCAATAATCTATACACGTAAGATTGTACAGGTTTATGTGGTAAATTACTTGTTAGCTAAAAATCAATAATAATAATTTAGAGAAACGTACATTACCTATCTACCTATATGTATTTGTTCGAATATGTATTCTTCCTCTGACCTAATATAATATGATAATCCATAAACGAAGTGTGATTGAAGATTGTGATACAATTTATATGATTACAAGAAAGCAAAACATGTTACACCTAAGAGTAATTTAATCTTCTGTTTAGGTCAATAATTCTACTTTAATTTTGAAATTCGAACGTATTTTTAATTTTAAAAAATCAACCGGGAAGGATGGAATTATCATTTATAATTAGTGGTGTGTATTTTTGTGCTTCAGAATTGAACACAATTGGTCTCATCAAGACGTTAAGACTGCCAACTACCACAAGTTTATACGATATGCCAATTTATGTTAAAGTATGTAACTTGATTTTAAAAATCCATGGATGTCTCATCATAATAAAACCATGTTTTTTTTTAAAAACGTTACTGTTAAGCGCATTATTTGTAATGAGTTTCGTTACAGTAAAACTTTTTGAAAATAGTATCCATAGGGTTTTTTTGTAGTTTTCACTTGATTGTATTCTATATATGTTTGGTTGCTATAATTTCTTCTTCTAGACTACTTTTATTAATTAAAATTTCCAAAAATCATCTCGTCGATAATATAATTTGACTACTGTGGTATACATCACAAAAATTTGAACACGACATACGAATGGTAATATTTTGAATAATAGTTTTAGCATACAAATCTTAGGTTCTCGGTGCGTTACAACAACAATCCTTTGGAGTAATAAAATCATATAACTTCAAATTGGAGAAAGTATTTATTACCTGTGAAAATGTATAATTAGGTTTCTCATATTCACTGCTTCGTACTCCTATACTATAATGAGTGTCAGCTCTCATTAAAATCTTCATTGTTGATTTATTTTATTGCACTTTTCCTTTTATAAATATAATAATAAAAACACTACACTGTCTGTAGTAAAGAAAATTATGCATTACACTACCACGAATACAGTTAGAGAAGAAATGCGTGTTTCTCACCAAGCGTCTGCGATATATATGGACTCAAATTGATTGACAAAACTGATTGGTTATGGAGGCTGAAAACAAGTGTCTTCGAAAGGACCGGAGAAAACTGACTGAAATTCTATACATAATATGTTATCTTGACTATATTAAGACTGACCTATTTAAAACCAATATTAATAAAAAATACTCATACTAAGTTTCAATACACATCTGTAAAATATCCATTTTTTTTTCGTACTTACTTTTTTTTTACTCGTCTGATGAAAACTTGGCACCTTTACAAAAAAGCGCATATATTCTACAATATACAAATACAATTCTGATCGCTATTTTAGCGTAAATTTTAACAGTTACTTTAGGTCCCTATTTTGTGGAATTTATATAAAGTAATTTCGATTGTTAGGAGTGATCATTGATTTTATTTAAACCTTCTGTTGGTTGGTTCTGAACAACTCTGAATTCAGCCGGCGCATTTCATGGCAAGCTAGATTGTATGGAATTGTATCAAACAAGACTGTAATAAGTAATTTTATTAAACTTATTCATTTATATATTGATTTCTTTTATGTAATAAACATCGTCATCCTCTTTGAATAAAAGTTATTTAACAATAGAATTGAAATATCATAGTTTCCCTAATGTGTGTTTTAGCCAAAACCTACTACCTTTTGCTACGCCATTTAGCAAAACACAGACACTATTTATGTTTAAACGACTGCTATGATTTTTTATTTATGTTCATCGATTTCCCCGCGAATTGTAGACTAATTTTCAACATTCTTTTCTTATTCTCTTTATAGTAGAAAGCTTATGGGAATTAGGCAGTCACTAAACATTTTATCGAGATCGAAGTAGCAATTTCGTTTTTATAACAAAACTGTTTTCCCCGTAACATCGCCTGCTAATGTCCTAGCTTCCTGTAGGCATAGAATTGGTCCATGCCATAGATGAAATAATTTTTAAAATTGGTCTAAAAGTTTTGGAGTCTGTTCAATGCATTCAAACATTCAATTTTTACCTGTTTATAATCCTATTAATATTATAAATGTGAAAGTTTCTTTGTTTGGATGTTTGTCCGTTAATCACGCCGAAACTACTGAAAGGATTTTGATGCAATTTGGTATACAGATAGGGTATTAGCTGACTTAGATAATAGGATACTTTTTATCCCTCTAAAAATTTTCCTGGGGTCCACGCGGGCGAAGCCGCTGGCGAAAGCTAGTTAGTATATATAATTGGAAGCATTCTACCGAATAACAAAAATATTTCAACAACATATTTAAATACCATCGAACGAAACAAAACATCGCGTGTTTTTTTTACCTACGGTATTTTATTTTTATTATAAATAATGTTTTGAATGAGAAAATAATCCCACTTCAAAGACGTGAAAAATAACTCATATAAAAGCGGTTCGTAATTGTTCTTGGAAATTCTACTCAAAATCATCGCCCTATCATTTTATAAATTTTTTTTATTGGGAATATATAATACAATTTTTTTTTACATTTCACCAATATTCCATTTTAATAGTCGCCTTTTACATTCGATCTATAAGAATTGATATATCTCTGTCGTACCTGGCTGCAAACATTGCCACATGCCTTTTATGAACTTGTAAACGTTGTTCATGTAAACATTGAACTCTGTATAACGCCGCGCCCGCTGCCAGCCATGATCATAACTTCCATAGTAGCATTATATATCTATGCATGGTATTTTTCTGATTAAAGTCTAATTTTGGCATTTAATAGGTTGTCCATCTGTCTTTGTCTGTCAAGACCCTTTATTTTAGGAACGTGAGGAGATCATCACTAGCCCGACGTAACACATCTCCAATGCGGATTGAAAGGTATTTATGGCTTCAAATGTAGCCGGCCAACAGCTTAATGTAGCTTCCGAAGCACGGAGTAGCTCGAAATAAATTTTGATTACCCATCCCGTGACTGACCCTTGCCGTGGCGGGCCGCGGCCCCGCAGCCTTTTACGCCGCAAAAAATCGCATATTTTGATGCTTTTCGAAACTTCCCCTTGACCAAAGCCCTAGTCCATACCTCCAAAATCGAAATTTCGTTTATTGTCGCAACGCTAAATACTATTCCAAAGAAACGTATTCTTCGATAATTTATGATACAACGTAGGTAGGACATGACTTCGCCTCTAATGCACAGATAATAATTATGGATATAATTTTAAGAAAATTATAAGAACAAATAGATATTTACCGAATATTCGTTTATAGACAAACAGAGTAGGCTCTCTGGAACTAGGAAATTTGGCAAGAGCATCGTTTTATATAGTACAAGTTCACAACAGTGTCAAAAATATTTATTTGTAATGAAATTTTAAAAAAGGCCTTATAGCGGTCCCACATTTAAAATTGGAGTTACTTTTAAGCGATCTTGTATTAAAAGGCTTGATCTTTTTCACGATGCATAATTTTTATTTATAACAAAAATAATTTAAAAAATATTGTGTAGGTGTAACCAGAATAGCTAATTAGGAAATTTTTTAAAATTTATTTTTTTTAAATTTGTAGACTACAACATCGGGCAAAGAGGATAAAGACGTCTTGATACTTGTAATATTTCTAATATAATGAAAAAAATCAATAGCTATCTCATGTCAGATGGGGTTTCCTAATCTTTGTTTTGTTGAGGTTCCCCAAACCATTAATAATATATTCACATTATTTACAGCTAAAATTATCTACAGCTTTTTACCTTTTGAAAAAATTACAATGGAGAGGCTCATTATTGAAAATACTTTTTTATTCCAATTTAAATAAACAAACTTCAAACCATATATTTTATTTTTTCGATTTTATAATGCAAACGCTTACCGCCCCCTCTGATTCTCATTACGCTCCCTCAACAAATTCACACACTGACTTGACAGTTGTCAACGGTTTTTTACCCTTGTCTTTTCCCGTTACACGGGGTCGACCTTCCTTATCATGCGGCGCCAAGTAGTCCGTTCGCTGGTGTATCCTCTCCTCCAAGTCTGTGACGCTTCATATCCTGATGGATGTTTGCACGTCAGGTCGTCTGGCGTCCCCTTCTCTTTTAGCCATGGAAAGGGCTCCTGTCGTTAAGATCTTGGGTAAAAATATTGAATCAGTCAATGAAACTAGGAACCTGGGAACTGTTTTTGACAGTCAGTTGCGCTTTGAAAGTCATGTATTGAGTCTCGTTAGAAACTGTTTCTACCGTTTAAAGGTTCTGTATAGGATACGACATTTTTTTTCGGAAAAATCACGAATTATACTCTGTGAATCACTTATTTTATCAAAACTGAACTACGGTGATCTAGTGTTTGGGCCACAGTTGTTATATAGAACCCAGAAAATTATACAACAATAAAATATAAGTGTCACTTTTTCTAATCAAGGCACGAGGAGTCACGTTGGCATTTGCATCTTGCCATGCTTATGTTCGATTTAATGAAGTCGAAACACCCGGTGTATCTATATTCAAAACTAAAGCAGTCCACTTTCCATCATCACTACGGTTCCGGTGTCCAGCGATATATACGGGCTCCCTTGATGATGCATTATCCCAAGACTGAGCTTCACTGGTAGTTTCCGTTATCAGGCGACTAAATGCTGGAATAATATACCTCCGCCTATAAGATTTATCACATGTAGACGAACTTTTAAAATGCATTTGAGATCTAGGTTGCTAAAAAATCAAGTTCCTGGCAATTAGTCGCATGATGGCAGTAGTAATAGTAATATTAACGGTTACTCTGTGACTCAGTATGATCTTGACTAAATAAACCGAATTAATAATAGGTATTACTATCTATTTATTTATTTTATTAATCTATATATCTTATACATTTATTACATATTTTAGTTAGTAAGTATTTATTAGAATTATTATAGTGTCTGTTTAGTATTGTAGTTCTTTTATCAATTTCTTTCTGAATTCTTGAATTTTTTTATATTTACAGTGCGACCACTTGTAATTAGGGTAAAACTGAAAATCAGTGCTTTGCTCTTTGAGTAAATACTCACTGAGTTTTCGCCCATTTGCATCGCTGCGTTACATATACTGTTTGATTGTCTTGTTTTAGTTACATCTTGTTCTGAACTATTAATTATTTCTCTTTCTTAATCGTTTATGGAATATTTTGTAAAATTTAAATTGTAAAATTTTGTGTATGCATGATGCAAATAAATAATTTATCTATTTATCAGTTGTATTGTTTCGAGTTGCGGATTATCTTGGGTTTATGCAGCCCAGTATCACTGCGACCATTGCTGATCTATTGTGATCTCCACATACTACAGTTCACGGTCAAGATTACATTCTACAAGGAACTGTAGTATTTTCTTGGCCGTAAGTTCTTTAATATCGTCTGGGTGCATCACGTGCTTTCCCAGATAGATACATCGTTTTCGCATTAGTAACGGGCAATCGGTCAAAATGTGCAAAGGTGTTTCTTCTTCCTCCTTGCATCCTCTGCACATTCTACTGTCGCTGATCCCCATATTGTGCATGTGTCTGTTCAGTCCACAATGCCCTGTGAGTGCTCGTACTAGTGTGCGAAGGTGAGTTTTGGTTAAGTTTAAGGCCTCTGATGCCGCCTTTTTGTTGAAGGTTTTAATCAGGGTCTTAGAGTGTTTCATACCGGGAGTGTTTCTCCATAGTTGAATAGCTGCGTAGTGGCAGTAAGTTTTCAAGGTGAGCTGGGTTAGGCTTTGAGGGATGCCACAGAAAGGTTCTGGTCCGATAAGGGCGTCTTTAGCACCCTTTTTCGCCAGTTTGTCCGCCTGTTCATTGCCCTCGTGTCCAGCGTGCCCTGGAACCCATCGTAGAACTACTTTGTTGTTGTTGCCCAAAGAGTTCAGTGTCTGTTTGCAGTTCTCGACCAGCTTC